GTTTGCGGAGAAGGGGCCTGGGAACCTGGTGCTGACCGCGTGGCCTGCACCCACGCAGGAGGCGGGAAGGCTGAGAAAGGCTGAGGGCGCCCGGCTCCACCAGCGAGGCAGACGGAGCCCGTCTCCGCTTCACTTCTTGTTGCGCGACTATGGCCGTGGTTCTCAACCTTCTGGCCCTTTAATACAGTTCCTCTCGTTGTGACCCAACCATAAAATTATTTCAGTTGCTACTTCACAACTGTAATGTTGCTACTGTTATGTGTCGTCATGTAAATATCTGATATGCATGGTGGTCTTAGGCGACCCCTGTGAAAGGGTCGTTCGACCGCCAAAGGGGTCGCGACCCACAGGTTGAGAACCGCTGATTAGATGACTTGTAAATTCAAGGCCTTTGGGGTGAATCCACAGGCCCGGATGGCGCCCCATTAGCTGATGAAGTCATTAATGACTGACTATACCATAACTGCATCATTTTCTTTATTCACAGAGCTATCAGAAAGCGATACATTTACAGGAATATTCAACGCCGCGTCCGGAAGCACAGTAGGGCTTTATTCACGAGTGGGGCTATGGCCATCATTGGCGCAGGGACCACTGCCAAGGGGAGGAGAGAGTGGGCTCAGCTCCCAATGCGGGGTGGGGTGTGTATGGGAATTTATAGCCAAGAGCACAGGAGGGGTCGTGGGTAGAGAAGAGGAAATGATGCCAAGGGAATTAACTAGTTATTAATAACAGACAAGGAGCAAAGGGCAGGCCAGACATCTAGGCACGTTCCCTGCAAAGCACTGGGGGAGGGGGCTGGACAAAGGGAAGAGAGACGCAGACCCAGCAAGTTTGGGACGAGGGTGGAAGGTGCTTGCCTGTCAGTGCCACCTGGGGACTCACAGAGGCCAGAGGGCACGTGGTCACTGCAAGCCTGAGGCGGTTTGGGGACATAGAATCCCCTAAACCAGTGGTTCTCAACCTGTGGGTCGCGACCCCTTTGGGGGTCGAACGACCCTTTCACAGGGGTCGCCTCAGACCATCGGAAAACACACACCCGCTCCAACATGGAAAGGAACCTGGCCGCCGGCTCTGCTTCTCGCTGTACCGAAACCCCAGCTACACTTCCCCTGTGACTGGACCAAGGGGAATGGGACTTAGGAAACCATGCGGTGTAATTCCATGGAAATAAAGCTTTCCCCCATACTCCCTCCTCCCACGGGGGGCTCCCTAAATGCTTACTCCTGTGGTACCCCGCGGACCCCACTCCCACTCACAATGGGGAAAGAGGAGCCATGCTTTTCTCGGGTAACAGAACCGTCAGGGGGCAGGAGGATTTGCCTCAACTTTCCTCAACAGGTTTCTCGTTGAAGACAGTCCAAGGTGATCAGATGACGGGGCAGTGATGTAGGATGAGGAATGCGGTCAGATCCCAAGGGTGAGCCGATGCCAAGGATGGGAGATTCTGGTAACGTGACTTAGCAGGGTTCTTGCTAGAGCTGGCTTGTACCAGGAAGCACAAGATGGGCCCAGGGAAAGGTTCAGCAGCCCGATTAAACAATTATTGCCATGAGTTCATATCGCTTTATTTCCTTTGCAAATTTGAAGTTCACGCTGATGTACTGTTTTAGGTTTAACATGGGTGCAAAACTTGTGAATTTTCAGGTTTTATTTATAATATGTACATTTAAGGGTACAGTTTTTAATTAATAAAAGAATAATACCTAAAAAATTAAGTTAAGGGTGCACTTTTAAAAAATAAGTTTTGGTATGCAGTTTTTTTTAAAATTCAGTTCAAATTATTTTCCGATTTATTTTGGGGGTTGTTTAGAAGGGTATGTGATAACTTCAAAATATAATGTCTTTCTAGTTACCCTAGGTTAATGGCAACGAGAGCAAGAAGCATATTTTATATAATTTCAATCCTGTAAAGCTTGTTGAACCCTCTTTTATAGCAAGATGGTCACTTAAAAAATGTTCCAAGTGTGCTTCTCTGCTGCCATCTAGTGTCCATCTTGGGAATAACACCTGGGAGCTGGTGAGCAGGAAAATCTGCTTGGAATATAGTGGATTATCTAAATGAATGTTGAATCCAGAGTTATTTAAACAGAAGGATTTCATAGCTTTTAAACAGAAGGACTTCTTAGTTTCCTTTTGCCACTGACTTCTAGATTAACTGCCTGGAGTGCCTGCAACATACTTTATATAATTTCAGTTTTTTGAAGTTTGTTGAAACTTGCTTAACAATACAACGTGGTTACTTCATAAAAGGTACCAAGGGTGCTTCTCTGCTGCCATCTCCTGTGCATCTTGGCGGTAACACTTCTGTGCACATCAGCCAGCAACGGTGTTGGGTACAGTGGGTCATCTACGCACCACTGTCTCAGGAAGACCTCTCCCCTCACGCACAAGAGTTAGAGGTGATAGGACATGACACACAGATCTCCCAAGGAGAGACGTTTTCTCACATTCCCTGACACACAGCTGATGTGACAGGACACCCCAGTCTCCCACGTGTGACTCTCTCCACAAGAAAGGAACTCAGAACTGGTGTCACAGGACCTTCTACTCTCTCAGGGTGGACTCCCCCCCTCTACAGTCACAGGACCCAGAGATGATGTCAGAGGACCCCACACGCTCTCCGTCGTGTCCACATTCCACAGTCAATAGACCCAGGGCTGACATGAAGGGACCCCCTACTCTGTTAGGTCAGACCTTTCCTCACAGGCACAGGGCTCAGATCGGAAAAGACAGGACTTTCAACCCTCTCAGGTAAGACCCCTCCCTACACTCAGAGCACCCAGAGCTGATGGGACAGGACACTGTCTCAGACTGGAACCCCACACCATCAGATGCACACTGCAAGCAAATGCTCTTCTGTGCCGCCATCTAGTGTACATCCTAGGAATAGCAACTATTTCCCAAACCTGGGCTCTTAATCATTTTGCGAGGACCCAGTTAATTCCCATCAACATAATTTTGACAAGAATAATCAAAATGATCATATTTTCAATACTCTGCTCTTACTTTTCCAAATACATGCAACATAATATATATTTTAAAATATTTGAACAATCAATTATGGGTGAATAGTGTCCATTAATTTCTCTACCATATTCTGAGTGCTGGAGACAGAGTTGCCAAATGATATGAAGTTGTGGTCAAGATGACATTCTAGTGTGGAGATGAAAACAAAATGTAAACATAACAAACATCTTCCTTCTAAGCAGTTATGAGAGAGTCAGGCAGTGCCTGGAGTAGAATAGTGGCAGCTGTTCCATGTACTTATTCAATGTATGAAGGAATGGACACTACAGACATAAAGACACTCACACACATATACATACAAGTTTTAAGACACACCCACGGAGACCAGGTCACTGATGTTCTCCAGCACCACATCTCTGTACAGCTTTCTCTGGGGTGTGCCCAGCAGTGCCCACTCTTCCTGGGTGAAGTCAAGAGCTATATCCTTGAAGGTCACTGGTTCCTGAAACGTCATGACATTCCAGGTTAAACGGAGCACTTCCTGCCAGTGTGCGGAGGAGGAGGGTTGGGATGACAGCATTGAGGGATGATGAGGAGCTGGGTGTGTAGAACGCTGAGCTGTGTAGTTCGATTCAGATACTGAGCAAAGTAGCCCTTTGGCCATTAGAACAGACAGCTGGGCTGTCTTTGTGGTTGCCATGATGGCACAAGCAACCGTGGCTAGTAGGCCGTCACCCCATGTGGGGACAGGAAATGTAAGCTCCACCTAGGGGTTGACCCACCTAGCTAGCCTAAAAGATTAGGCTAGATGAGCGTATGCAAAGGTATCCTCAGACACTTCATGTGCAGGTGAAAGCAACAGATGAGCTGATATGACCCAAGGCCCCCCCTCTGCCAAGAGGAAGCACAGGGAGTATAGACCCAGCCATGGTCTGTTACTAGGAGGGCCCTGGGCAGCCCCCTATCCCCTCTGGAAGCAGGTATAACTATAAGCTATAGTTGCACCCCTTGATCCAGCCCTGGAAATGCCACCAATGCCCTACAAGAAAGAGACAGTGAAGTACAGGCCATACAAGCCCATCCCATGACCCCCTCTGATCCTGGTGGGATGGACCATCAGGGACAGGGCATTGGGCATTCTTAAGTTTTACTATTAGGGCCGGAGTACTGGTACAATGTAGTACTAACATACTACAATTGGTATTGTTAGTGAAGCCCTGGGTTCAAGGAGCTGGCAAATAGGCCATGGTATTCCTAGAAACCACCCGGTATGAGAGGTGGAGTGTGGGGTCCAGTCCAGAGTACACTGGATGTTCAAGGCCAATTTGAGTGTGGGAACCCTCATCAGAGTACGCCGGATGTAAAAGGCCAATTTGCCGTACACAGGTGCAAGAGCAAGGACACAGCGATTTTACTGTGTGCCCTGCGCAGGCATACCTTTGTATAACCCAAATATTGATGTCACTATTTGGCAAGAAGTCTCTTTTGTCCGAGTTAGTATAAAAATGTGTTACTGAGTGGCAGAGTAAGTGGATGCTGCATGGACACACTCCCCGGAACAAACGAGAATTACAACTCAAATACAGAAAAACTTCCGGAATAATCAAGGGAAGACTCACTGGAGAAAACCCTGATGCCCGAGGACTGAAAGTGGAGACGGCATAGAGACTGGTCAGAGGGGCGGAGGTGTGAAAGGGCTGGCCCAGGTGTCCACAGACAGGAACTGAAGTCCTGGAGACAGAGCTCAGCTGTGGGGGGTTGCAACTGAGAACTCTGGAGTCTAATCCCCAATTTGGGGCCCCCAGCAGGGAGCACAGAACTGACAAAGGTGCACAAGTAGCATCTGGCTGTGAAGAGCAGTGGGGTAGCTGTCTGCCAGGGAGCTAGCGATGGCTGGAAATCCAAGCACCCTCTTAGAGGCCCAACACACACAATTCCCAGTGGAGCCACCCACCTTGTGATCTGGCAGAGGGAGGGCAGAGTGGACTAGAGCTGTGTGAGCAGAATCCAGGACTGGGGACTCGGGGTTTAGACACCCCAAGTTTCCAAGCAGGAGAGGACATCTTTCCCCCACAGACATTTGCTATACAGGAGGTCTGTTGGGGGAGTGGCGAGGGGGCACACAGATGACCCACCCTATTGGAAAACACCTTGCCTGGAGGCCACTTAACACATTGTACAGCAGTAGTTTTATTGCTAGCTTTACTCAGTGGCCAGATAAGTTTCTATTGAACAAGTACAAAAAAACGTTTTACAAAGTATCACACGTTAAAAAGATATTAGCTTGTAAGAACATGTAATAAATAACTTCAAAATGCAATGAATATTTAAGGCGTGCCTTTAACATTTATGTAAAACACTGTGTAATATGAAAACATGAGAATGCTCATGATCCGCCCACAATGTGTTAAGATAAAATAGCCACTAACCTCCAGGCAGAAGCAATTGCCCCACCCAATTAAAAAAACAACAACAACTCTCACCACACCTGAGAATGATTGCCTGAGGGCAATTCAAGTCAGAATCCTATCAGTCTATAGGCAGAAGCATCTTTGGAGCATCTTTGAAGCATCTTTGGAGGGGTCTCTACCTGATCTAATTAGTCAGAAACAGTGTTTGATACTCTCCTGCACTAGAGGTTGAGAGGCATAGCAGATCTACCTAATACAGACTCACAAAGCCAAACAGGAAGCCAACATGAGGAGACAGAGAAACAACCCCCAAAATGAAAGAACAAGAGAATTCTTCAGAAGAAGAGATAAATGAAGCAAAGATCAGAAATTTATCTGAAACAGAGTTCATAGTAATGATGGTAAAGATGCTCAACAGAATGAGAAAAGATATAGTAACTATGAAAACAGAAATAAAGAATGGCATCACACAAGTAAAGAACATATTGGAAGGAATACACAACAGATTAGGGGAAGCTGAGGATTGAATCAGTGAGTTAGAAGACAGGGTTGAAAAAACTCACTCAGAGAACAAAAAAGAAAAAAAACACAATTAAAAAAACAAGTGGACAGCTCAAGAGAGCTGTGGGACAACATGAAATGTAACAATATTAGAATAGCAGGTGTGCCAGAAGAGGCAGAAAGGAATAGAGAAGTTATTTGAAGAAATAATGGTAGAAAACTTTCCTAACCTGGTAAAGGAAAAAGTCACACAAGTTCAGGAGGCATAAAGAACCCCTAGCAAGAAGAACCCAAATAAGTCCACACCCAGACACATCATAATTAAAATGCCAAAAATTAAAGACAAAGAGAGAATCTTAAAGGCAGCAAGAGGAAAGCAAACTGCTACTTACAAAGGAGATCCCATAAGAGTGATACCTGATTTCTCATCAGAAACTCTACAGGCCAGACAGGAATGGCATGAAGTACTCAAGTAATGGAAAGCAAGGATCTGACACCAAGATTACTATATCCAGCAAGGCTATCATTCAAAATAGACTGTTAAATAGAGCTTCCCAGACCAAAAAAAAAAGGCTAAAGGAGTTCATCACCACCAAGCCAGCATTACAAGAAATGTTTAAGGGACTGCTGTAATGAGAAGAAGAAACAGAGAGAGAAAACTAGGCATACATAATTAAAATGACAATAAATAAGTATCTATCAATAATAACCTTACATATCAAATGGAGTAAGTGCTTTAATAAAAAGGCATAGGGTAGCTGAGTGGATAAAGAAACATGATCCAACTATATTCAGTCTACAAGAGAACTACCTTAGAACAAAGGACACGCACAGGATGAGAGTGAAGGGATGGAAAAAAATTTTCCATGCAAATGGAAAAGAAAAAAAAGCTGGAGTAGCAATACTCATATCCGACAAAATAGACAAAATGAAGGCCATCACAAGAGACAACAAAGGTCACTACATAATACTAAAGGGATTGATCCAACAAGAGGATTTAACTTTGGTAAACATATATGTATCCAATATAGGAGCACCTAAAATATATATTAAAAAAAAAACTTCTAGAGGACACATGTGGAATCTAAGTAACAAAATAAACTGGAAAATGGAGTGGACTCAGACACAGAAGCATGGAAAGAGTGCGGAATCTCAGAGGGAAGGTGGGGGACGATGGGTGGGAGGTAATCAGCCAAAGACCTTGTATGCATAACCCATGGACACAGATAATAGGTTGCTGAAGGGCTGGGGCAGGCTGGAGGGGGCCAGTGGGGGAAACTGTGTTACTGACCAGCCGGTGTCTGGCTGCTTGGCTGGGCTGCTTTGTTAGCAATGGCTACTTGGTCTACACCTATGACTTCTCATGTCTTCTCCGTCTAATACCTGGCGTCCATGATGGTCCAGGTCCTAGCAGGGGAACTGAGACCCCCACAACAGCACAGATCTAGGATCTTGGGGTAAGCAGTTAAAATTGCCAATAGATTCATCACAAAAATGGAAAAGAACCACAAATAGTCAAATATCAGAAATGTGGGGGTGAATGAACATTGACCCAGTAAAACTTGGAGATCATGAGAAGCTGCTTTGATATGACACATAATGTTAAGGGACTGTGGCCAGCTCACATCGTAGTGTTTGGAGAACTCACCAGAGGGAAACTGGAGGAGATGGTGGAGCCAAATGGATGCTGAGGCCAGTTCCACAAAGCAGCCATTCCTCTTCTTCCAACATCCCAAAACCTTCAGTTCCCTCTACTGGGTGGAAATGTATCCCTTTGCTTGGTGTCTGAGTCCCCTTTATCCTGGGAAGACCATAAATCAAACACCCCGATCTCTGAGAAACTAACTATCCTATGAACCCCTTCAGGCCCTTCACCACACCCTGTTCAATTTCATTGGATTTTCCAGACTCAGTTATAACTCTCTGGGAACAAAGAATGTCTTGGAACTCAAGCAGGGCATCAGACACAACGGGATGCTACCAGTCTGGGGACTTCAGGATAAAAGAAAAGATGGAGAAACCTGAGATACCAATAAAGAGGGATGAAACCCAATCTCAATGTGATCCTTTTCAGAATATTACTCATATCAAACTAAACTGTAAACCAGAACTTTAATATAACATTTCATAAACAAAAGGTGCAAAGTTACAAGGAGCGTCCCCGTTCTGATTTCTACTGAAATAACCCAGCACAGTGACACAGTCTCACCTCAGGACCACAGGCACTGCTTCAAATCTACAGACCACGCAGGTGGCCCTGCCCCTGGATCCCCAAGGCAGACAGGGGCACATCTGATAGAGCTTCATTACAGAACTTCCTATTTATTTCCATTAGACTTTAAGGCCACTATGGCAACTAAATTTCCTATACAATGGATTAAAATTTACAAAAATATCTACTTCCCTTACCTGTTCTATAAGTACCAAGTACAGTTTACTATAAAACTTTCATTTGACATATCATACCTCCCCAAATTAAAAGTGAAGTAACTGGGACTCTGTGTCCAGTAAGACCTTACATATAAATGGAGCAAGCCTTACTGGGCTTCCCACCATCTGAACACACAGCTCAGCAGGGGGGCTCTGGTCCACCAGAAACAGGCACACCCGGTGGTGTCCCCTCCCCAGCTCCACAGTCACCACCAGGAGGCCTGGGGCCAAGGAACAAGTCTTGGCTGACTCAATGGCCGTCGCTCTCTTCAGAGGAAGAGGAAAGCTGAAATTTCTCTTGGAGGACACCCCAGGGGCCCTGTGGTGGAGTCCCTCTGACTTGTCTGAGGTGAGGAGGGCTCTGATGGGAGGCGCTGAGGATGTCACTTCAGGTTCCCTGACAGGTGACCAGTGGTGACATCAGGGTCTCGCACACACATTCTCTTGTTTGTGGTGTCTGGCATTGGCCCCTGTGGACGCTGAAGGAGACACCACACAGAGGTTTCACATTAGAATTTTCTCATCATCAAGTATAAGTAAAATTAAACACAGATAAAAAAAAAAAGATCTGAATACGAGCTATGGACAGTGAAAGATACACCAGCAAGCAGTGAGCAGATGAGGAGGCCCTGGAGTTCATTATGAATGAAGTTACCAAGCGCCCTTCACACATTTTGTAACATCAGATAAGAAAACACAAAGGTTCTCACAACTGTCTCCTCTTAGTGAATTGGAACAAGACCTTTCTAAGCTTCCTCTAGGGCAGCGGTTCTCAACCTGTGGGTCTTGACACCTTTGGCGTCGAACGACCCTTTCACAGGGGTCACCTAAGACCACCCTGCATATCAGATATTTACATGACGATTCATAACAGTAGCAACATTACAGTTGTGAAGTAGCAACGAAAATAATTTTATGGTTGGGTCACAATATGAGGAACTGTATTTAAAGGGCCAGAAGGTTGAGAACCACTGCTCTAGGGACTGGGCACATATCATGGTGTTGTGAAGGGAGTTTGGGGACTAATGAGTTTGGGTGGGCATTATGGAAATAGGGATCCCGATTTCAAGATGCCTGGTTACCCAGAAGGGATTGTACCTTTGTGGAAGCATCTAATGAGATCCCGCCCTTGCCCTCCTCCAGCATAGAATGTGGGGGGCAAGAGTCAGTTTACAGTTTTAGTTACTCTTAAAACAAGTTTATTGATGGATTATTTTTTATTACTTATGTTATTATTTTCCAAAGGAAAATTGCAAACCTACTTTTGCCTCACCCTGTGTTTTTGGTGCTCGTGCAAGTGTGGGGAGCCTCTATAGGGTTAAGCCTCGGACTGACCTGTTGGCAAAGTCACAAACAAGTCCCAGCTTAGAGGGCAGTCCTCTTAAAAGCATAATTAGGCTTGACCTTGTGATGCTCCCTAGATCTTACCTGGGAAGCTGATGGGCTGAGGGAAGTGCAACAAGAACAAAAACAAGTGAAACTCACAAGAACAGTGTAACTTTGGTAACCACTACCTGTTTACCTCTGACTATAAAATAAAGGCTCAGTTTGCCTCGGGATCTTTTCTCTGTGGCCTCAGCCAGGCACAGGAAGATCCACGGAGACTAAAGAGAGCTAGAGAGTTCTGAATGCTGTCTCCGTGTAAAACATTCTTCGCCGACTCCGTCCACACCTTTGGGAACCCCTGGACCCCCGGGGCTGGACCCCAGCATGCAAGTAGAAAGCAAAATCAGACACCATGAAAAAATGTTAGGAGACTGCACTGGAGAAACCTCCTGGGTCCCATGGGATTTCCACCGTTCTCTCAGACAGAAGACAAGGAGGGAAGTTGGGTGATGAAGTTCAAAGCCCAGCAACTAGGGACACCCACCTTCACAGAGTCACAGGGTTCCGTCTCTTTCTTCCAGATTTGCTCCTGGTGACATCCCCTCCCCAGTTCCACCATCACCACTGGGTGGATCAGGGATAAAGATTTCTGGGGAAATCTCTGGATCAGAGCCTGTCTCTGGTCTTCATGCCTGCCAGACAGAGCATGGGACATGAGTCCCTCCATTTCCTGTCCCCAATGAGACAAGCCTTCCCATGGCCCAGACCCTTTCCCTGTGTCTGTGTGATGCAGGGAGCGAGGCCCTGTGCGTTCACTAGACTTGCCCTTGATCATCTCAGATCCTCCCCCTTCCTGGGAGCACTCCAGAATTTTTCACAAAGGACTTTCCTTTCCCTCCGTTGTCTCTCTGCCTGTCCTTGGCAGAGATCCAACATGTCTCACCCCACCCCCACCACCATTCACCCTCTGTGTGATTCTCAGGAAGGGAGTGAAACTCTGAGCCTGACCCCCTGGAGGAAGGGCACCAACAGCTTTCTTACTCTCTCCATGTCCGTCTTTGCCCGGAGATGGCAATGCAGACTGTGTAGAGGTAAGAGACACACGGGCTCCCTAGATTTCCCCCAAAGTTTGGCTCCACTGTCCCACCATACTCACCGAGTCTGCTCAGTCTTCCTAGCAGCCTCGTTATAGGGCCCTGGGTTCTGCAGGTCCCAGGGAGTCCGTGGTTTCGGGTTCTCCATCTTACGGGGGCGCAGGGGTAGGGGGCCAGGGTCGCATTCCATTGCTTCATGGGACACCTGAGGCTGCTTGCCTTGTGCCCAAAAGCCCAATATTCCTGGCATTTCACCTGGGGGGAGAGAAGGTCTGCCAGTCAGCCCAAAGCACAGGCATATTTCATCGGTAAATAGGAGGACGGATATGGAGGTTATAGGGAAGGACATGAGCATAGGACTCAATGAGGTGCTGGTTATTGAGGATATTATGGTGCATTCCGAAGCCCATGTTAGTTAGTGGGAGAAATGTCTGGAGGTCTAAGCATGACTACATAGAAATGGAAAGATATGGGCACAAAACAGGAAGTGTGATCCTAGGAATAGGACACTAACTAGGAAGTGAGGTGGTTTCTCTGAGTCCCAAAGGACCAGTCAGCCTGGTGAGGATGTCCCAGGGCAAGGGACCCTTGCATGGGAAAGGACACCCCATTTATGGACACAGAACCTGCCTTGTCCAAACCCTGTCTCTGTCATCCATGCCCCACCCTCAGGTTCCCCACAGAGCCAAGCCCCTACTCACCCTGGGATGCTCCTCTTCTGGTGAGGGAGCCTTGAGTGCTACTGGGGCCCTCTGTGATTTCTTCCATTTCTGGGCCACTAAGGGTCTGCAGGGCCAACGATCTGGGTAAGGACCAGCCATCTGCCATACCGCCTACGAGCTTCACGTCTTTCACTCTTTCACTCTCGGCTGTGGCCTTGTGAATCTCCTGAGGAAAAACGAAAGAGAAAGTTTTCAAAATCACACACAGAGCAAGCCCCTCCGGCACCGTCTGCTTCAAATCCACTGAAGAGACTTCATGAGCTCAGGCAAAACATCTGTCTCCCCAGTGATTCCTCCCTCTGAGTCCTTTGTCCGTCCTCTCATGATTGCCTCCACCTGGGACAGGACTCTAAGACAACACAGCTGAGACTCACCTGGTGAGTTGGATGTGCCTGCATCACGGAGGGATTTAAAAGAGGAGACTGTGATTAGTTCTACCCTGTGTGTCCTAGTAGGACAGAGAAAGACAGTATTTCCTGGGACTTACACCATCATCAATGCATTGACTATTGGGGTTCACATATTACCACAGCAAAGTAAAACATCCTCCCCTCTGGGGAATTTGAAGTTCCCATTGGACAGTAAAGGAGGCAACTTACAAATACAAATTCACCCAGATGAAAATATGTTCTCTGCTAGTCTAGAAGGTTTGCAGCCTAGCGTCTGGATGGTTTTCTTTTGTTTTAATTCTATCCTCAGCATCCTATCCTTAATTAGTTTCTAAGAAATGTGAAATGAATATGTTAGAAATTAAGACTGAGTAAAATCAATTATTTAGCTTTAAGTGCCCACAGCTCTATCTACCAAGTTTCCACATGTGCTCACACCGATGTTCACACAAATTGCAATGCTGGGGTCCATTTCCTGAGAAATTTACTCTTGGGGTAACAATGAGCATTGAGAACGTGTAGTTTGTTGATCTGCTCAGATATTTTATGAAAATGAAAGAATCCTTACCCCACTGCCTAAAGCAGCCGTGGGCAAACTACGGCCCGCGGGCCGGATTCGGCCCATTTGAAATGAAAAAAACTAAAAAAAAAAAAAAAAGACCACCCTTTTATTTAATGATGTTTACTTTGAATTTATATTAGTTCACACAAACACTCCATCCATGCTTTTGTTCCGGCCCTCCGGTCCAGTTTAAGAACCCATTGTGGCCCTCGAGTTAAAAATTTGCCCACCCCTGGCCTAAAGCCACATCTCTCCCTCGTTTTCCTAGTGTCCTGATTCTCTAAGGACTTGATTGAAAGGAAACCTGCCCAGTTGGTGTTGCTCAGTGTTTAAGCGTGGACCCATTAATCATGAGCTCATGGGTTCAATTCTTGGTTAGCGCACATGCCCCGGTTTCCGACTTGACCCCTAGCTCAAAGCCTGCAGGAGGCAGCCAACCAATGTTTCTCTCTCATTGTTTCTATCTCAGTCCCTCTCCTTTCTTCTCTCTCAAAATCAACAAATACAAATTAAAAAAAAGAAAGGAAACCCACCTGAAATCGGTCTGTGCTCCCCTGGTTGTCGGCAGGTCCTCAGGACGATCTGTGCTGGACCAGCCCCACTGGCTGCCTCGCAGCTCGGAAGCTGCCTGAGGAAGGGTCACGGGGAGCGCTTGCAGTGCTGGTGGACTATATGCTGGGTCAAGGCCACGTGCCATGTGGGCGGTGACCATTAAATTAGCACAATCCCCCAGAAGGAAGCGGGGCATGAAGGGAAGTTCTGTTGTGGGTCCTTGAGGGTTTCCAGGCCTTTTCACTTTATGTGGACCCACGTGCCCACTATTAGGAAGACCTATCTTCCGTAAGAAAAACGAACGTTTGTGGGGGCACCTGCTGCTTCCTTCAACACTTTTCCTTGTTTAATGTGATGACATGCATGGGAGAGAAATCATCTCAGAATACACAGAGCTCTGGTATGCAGTCCAGCCACAGTGTGTGCAACCAATGACATGGTCGGCCTCCTGAGCTCTTCAGGTTTCCACCTGAAGCTCCGATTCTAGGAACGTTCTCTCTCCTTCCTAGCCTGGCTGCCCACCGCCTTCCGCCATTGTCTCCTCTGTGTCTGAGAAGCGGACCCTTGGAAATTCACAGGAACGGAGCCCCAAGTTGGTCTTGTGCGACTCGCTCATTTTATACTTTGCCTCGTGACTCAAGTCACTTTCCAGAGGCATTCCATGTCGGCACACGTGATACCTGATACTTTCTTCAGTTACTCGTCCACTGGCATCTGGCCATGGAGAGAGTGAGGCACAGGCCTCAGTTTTGACTAAGAGACGTTGAAGAAGAGAAACTCAAATAATCCCTTTTGAGCCTTTTTTACTTCACTCCAGGGAGTATTCTGTTTAAAGCAGGTCACCCAGTCCAGCCCAGCTGGCACCAGCTCGGTGGGGCATGTCTGATTTTGAACTGTGAGCACTCTGGGTAGTTTCCCATCTTATAATTTGCATATGTTTGACCCCCCACTGGCCTTCCCATTTGTCTTTTCTCTATTATGGATGAATGTGCCCCCTGGTGACCCTGGTCAGGCCCTGGAACCCTGACTCCTCCCCTTGGGTCCCTACACCCTGGGCTCATCCTGGTCAATGAGTCTCCCAGGGCCTGTCTATCCCTGCTTGTCCTGCCTCTGACCTTAACTCACCTTGACCCAACTTTCCCTCTGGACAAGGTGGGACCACCCACCTTCAGAATCACTAACCCAAGTCAGATTGAACAGTGTCCTGTCTGAAAAATAAGTCCCTTTTACCATGGCAATTATATGAAAATGCCACATTCATCTAATTCTTATAATTAATTAATTATTCAATTTGTTTCTCATGTCTGCAGATGGAAGCTATCAGAATTATGAAATTTATCAAAAGTGTTTTCATGTGAAAAATTTTCCCAACTCTAAATGTGTTAATTACCACTTATTTAATGTCACTTATTTCAGTTAGGGGTGTTTTACATTTTTTAATAGAGAACTTTACAAATTGTTTTAAAATTGGACTTTAAAAAAATTGTGCTGTGTATTGCCAGTTATCATTATTCTAAATCATCTCATATAGTAGTTGAGTTTCGTGGTATACAATGTGAGGTTGGGTGGGCCCCCTACAAAACAGCCAGGTCTCCTGAGCCACACCTAGTCCTCCCCTGGACCCTGAAGTCTGACCTGCACATCATGTGTCCAGCAGGACATCACACTGATGGACCAGAGGCTCTGCCATCAATCCTCCTGGGAGCCTCAGGGCCCTCTGGGTTCCCATGTCTCAGCCCATTGATGTTGGCAGTGGCTTCTTCTGTGCTACTGGGCCAGCGGGGGTGGGGGGGACTGAGTGGGCACCAGCGGATCTGGCTTGCTTTGGTGGAGATGGAAATGTCTGAGTGTTTTCAGGGAGACGGTTGCCCATTCCGAGCTATATTACTGAGGACATCGCCTTTCCATGGACACCTGATAAGACGTTGAAAACCAGAGGTGCACAGTCTCAGGATGTCCTTTGCGCAAGTTGTTAGAAATAGTGCCTCCTATGCACCTAAGCTGACGAGGGCCCACCTTCTAATGAAAACAAGGACATGAAATCACGCACTTTGATTGGTCTCTGAAAGGTGTTTGCTCAGAATTACAGCTGAATTCAACTACAGATGGGAGGAACTTATTCTGGCAGGCAGACCATAGACTTAATTCCTCATCTTCCTCAGATGTGGCTAACATTTCTCCACCCTGCCTCTACAGTGAAATCACCTGCGTAGAGATTTTAGGAAAAGAAGTACATGTCCATTTCAACCTCAGAATGTACTCATTTACTTGGTCTCAGAGAGGCCCGTGGTTTTGTGCTAGGGTGAGGGACTGCGCCATGGAAGGGTTACAGAATGTTACAGAATGTGCTAAGGGGAGGAAATGAGACATGAGAAATTGAATGTGCTGGGAGGGGGGACTGACATATGGAGAAGGATTGTATTAGGGTTAGGAACCATGGAAGAAAAATTGCTAGATTGTCTTAGAAAAACAATGTGTTATGATATGCTCCAGCCAGGTGTGACTCTGTTTACCCCCCCTTTGTGCTTATGAACTTTCTGTGAACTTCTAAGGAACAGCTAATGAAATGCTTTGTATTTTTTTTTAACACTGTTTTGCTATAAAGGATCATACTGCACCCTTGATCTCTGCCACATGCCTCAAGGCTTCCCAGAGGGGGAAGGTACGGGCTGTGGTCAGCTGGCCAGCTTAATAAAGGCTATTAAATTTAAATTCTGAATCGGTGGTCTATCTCGTTGAGCTAACCCATAACATTTGGAGGCCCCAGCGAGATACCCGGCAGGGAGGAGAGGGACCCCTTATTTAGGGCTGGAGGCTCTCCCCTGGCAGGGGTGAGAGGGACCCCCTGTTTAAGGCAGGAGGCTCTCCCCAGGCAGGGAGGAGAGGAACCCCTATTCAAGGCAGGAGGCTCTCCCCCACTTGTTGCCGGGCACTCAGCGAGATACCCCACACCTGTGGAGAACGACTACCAAGGAGGCCTCCAGTCCACCCAAAAACTTTCATTCGGAAAC